GGGTAGCCTACATACAATGTAAGGGACAGAAAGAATCTTCTCTCACACTCCTCCCTTTTGCTCTTGCTCCTCTTGCTGTCTTCTGCTGCCATGAACTGTTGCCCTTTACCATGCCACCCTGCCTTAGAGCCAGCTGATTATGGACTGAAACCTCCACAAACTGTGAGCTAAATAAACCTGTCCTTCCTTAAAGTGAGGTGTCAGGTATTTTGTCTCATCAACGAAAGAAAAGTAACACAATCTGTATATCAGTTTTGGAAATATAGCAACTTTTACTGTATTAGTTCTTCCTACCCAGGAATGGGATATGTTTTCATTTTCTGATGTCATCTTCGACTTCCTTTTGAAGAGGGCTGTAGTTTCCATTGTAGAAGTCTTTTACTTTCTTGGTCAGGTTAGCTCCTAAACATTTAGTTTTTCTTGGTGCTATCGTGAATATTTTCCCCTAATTTCTGTTTTAGTGGCTTCATTACTAGTATATAGAGATGCTATTGATTTTTGTGTGTTGATTTTGTATTCTGAAATATTACTGAATTTGTTTTTTTTTGTTCTGTTTTGCTTTTTTTTGTCTTTTTGAGACAGGGTCTTGCTATGCAGTTCAGGCTAGATTTGAACTCACGTTGTAGACCAGACTGGTCTCAAAATCTCAACAGTCCTCCTGCCTCAGCCTCCTGAGGGCTGGGATTTCAGGTGTGTGCCACCATACCTGGCACACTTTGCTTTTCAAGACAGAGGTTTTTTTGTTTTTTGTTTTTTTGATACCGGGAATCAAACTCAGGACCTTGCACTTGCCAGGCAGGAGCTTGTGTCACTGAGCTATATCCCCAGCCCAAGACAGAGTCTTGCTGGGTAGTTCAGGTTGGCCAGGAACTCACTATGTAGCCCAGGATGGCCTCAAACTCACAGCCATCTTCTTACCTCATCTGGGATTACAGGTATGTGCCAGTATGCATGGCTGAATTAGGTTATTAATTTTAATAACCTAATTAGGTTATTAATTTTAAAAGAATTGGTGGGTTTTGGGTGGGTGTTCTATGTAGAGGATCATGTGCTATGTTACATGAAAGGTTCTTCTGGCCTTTAACGTTTGCATTGGGAAGTCTGCTGTAATTTTAATGTATTTACTGTTATAAGCGATTGATTGCTTTTCCCTAACCACTTTTAAAGATTCTGTTCTTATGTTGGACTTTTGAGATCTTGATAACAATGTGTCCTGGAGAGCTTCATTTCTGATCATGGTTATTTGGAGTCCTGTATGCCTCACTTATCTATATTAATTTGTGTATGTTAAACCATCTTTTCATCCCTGGGACAAAGCCTATTTTGTCATGGTGTATGATCTTTTTGACCACTTATTGCATTCTGTTCACCAGTATCTTCTTGAGGACTTTTTGATCTATATTCATTAAAGAGATTAGATTATAGTTTTCTTTTTAGTTGGATCTTTGTCTAGTTTTTTTG